ATCACGTTGAAGCTTTATTCAAAGTTCAAATATTTCACGGGTAAAACATATTCTTATATGAAATAGTCCCAAATTTGAATAAAAAAAAAAAAAAAATTGTAACATGTTTCGTTTTACACAAACGGATCTTGGATCCCGGATAATAATTTTACTTGAATCACTTCATCCCGCACGATGTGCGGGTTGTTATCTAGTACCATAGTATTGATTAATGATTATTCTCTAACACGCAAGGAACCGAGCATTAACTGCATGAGCTGTCATATTTGTGGAAGATTGTAGAAGAACTAGTCAAGGGGAATTGCAGGGTATAACCAAAAAATAAATATAATTAAGAGAGTAATCATTCTAACCATAAACATATAATATTCATCGTATTTTATGTATTATTGTCTACTTTGTCCTTGTTTTTATAGTATTTGTTTATACTTTCTTTTTTCAAATGTCCCTACCAATCCATGGTTTTCAAATATCATCGTGCTTGATTCGATACTATTTTATTTAGTTCTATAGTACTATATATAGAACACAATAACATTATAAATTTCTTTTTAAAAAATATCTTTCTTAAATTTCGAATTTATTTAAATTGCAAACTTACATCAATTCATATGTTGTATAATTCTGTTCTAGTGTTTACTTCGGTTGCTTGGGTTGCCAATATTGTATTTCATAGGGTATAGTGTTTTTTTTTTTTTTGGTGTGCGTTTAATTCGGTCGCTTGTATATGTTTTATCTATTACGGTTACCGTCACTAGTATCGCCGCCACCACCACCACCACAACTAACACTACTATCCCACCACCACCACCACGTCGTCACCACCACCATAACCATTACGATCACCGTAACCTCACCACCATTAATATCACCACGTTGTAACTACTACCACCACCAACACAACCACCACAAACCGTCACTCCCACCACCACCACTATCACTATCATCACTTTATTTTATTAAAAACATTTAGTTTTTTTTTTTTAAAACAAGCACTATTTTTGTTAAAAATTAAAAACATTTAGTTGTATACTATTTAATTTCTTTCTATTCTATTTTATTTCTGTATTTTAAACAAGCACTATTTACTATTTTAAATAATTCATGTCCGATTTTAAATATTGCAAGATTTAATCGGTTATTTTTATGAGACTAATTCAACATTTAAAATCATCTGGGAATAATATCAACTAGATTTTAACCCGCGGTACACCGCGGGGCTATAATTTTTTTGAAAATGATCTATTGTTTTGTTTGATTTAAATGTATTTATTATATATATATATTACCCAGCATTAAACCCGCGGGTCGATTTTTAATAACTAAAAATTGAAATTTTAAGTTGAATTTATTTTGTTAATATTGTTTGTTTTGCTTAGCATTTATTGTATTTTGATAGTTAATTCTACGATTTCACTCGTAGTACCGCCTCGTATTAATATTGATCAAACCCGTCCTACCATATAACTCTGTTCCGTGAAATTAAACATTATTTTGTTATTGTTTTTTATAATATTTTAATTTAAAAAACATATATAATTTGAGTAAATTTAAAAGTTTGCTTTAAATGGCTCCCATAATATATATATTTTTAATTTTTATAGAGTTCAAATATCATTAATATAATAAACTTTTTATAAAATTTAAATATTATAAATACTTTAAACGTTTTATCATCTTAAAATATTTACAATGTTTAATCTCCTTATAAATTCTTATAAAGTTTAAATATTTATAATATTTGAAACTTCATAAAAGTTTTAATATCGACCCAAACTTCATAATTGTATTTTGATTGTTAATTCTAAGATTTCTCTCGTAGTATATCGTTCCGTATTAATATCAACACAAACCCGTCACACCAGATAATCCCGTCAAGTGAAATTAAACATCATGTTATTTTTCTTTTTAATAATAATTTTATTTAGAAGACATATAATTCGAGTCAATTTAAAAGTTTGGTTTTAAATTGTGTCTATAGTATATATATTTATAATTTTTATAGATATCAAATGTTATTAATATATAAACTTTTTTATAGAATTGAAATATTATATATACTTTAAAAGTTTTATAAAATTTAAATATTTATAATATTTAAATTTCTTATAAGTTTAAAATTAATAATATTTAAAATTCTTATAAAGTTAAAATATTCATAATATTTGAAACCTTATGAAATAATAATAATCTAAAATAACATATTATTCCATAGACATAAATAATATTTATATATTTGGTAATAATGTTTTTTTGGATTTAATCTAATTTATAACTAAACAAATTATTTATAGCCAAAATGAGTTTGGTTTATAATAAGTAATATAGCAAAATGAGTTTGTCAAATAACAAATAGTAACCATAATTTAATTAATGTACATTAAAATAAATATATTTAAAAAATGAATTACTTAAAAAAATTGGTTTGTCAAAATTAAGAGAAATTGTTAAAAATGCCCCTTTTTCAATACTCCTTTTCAAAAATGCCCCATTTGAGAGTCCATTTTTAAGTTTGTCCTCTTTTAATTTTTAATGACCATTTTACCCTTATTTGAAACAAAATTAGGTCCACAAAATACAAAATATTTTTTGGCGGGAAAAGTGATTCCGCAATTTTTTTGGCGGGAAAATTTTACAAGGTATTTTAAAGGTTTTACCGAGTATTTACAAGTGTTTTGTAAGGTTTTACAATGTATTTTAAAAGGTTTTACAAGGTACTTATAAGGTTTTATAAGATATTTATAACTTGTAAAACCTTATAAAAAACTTGTAAAACCTTATAACTTGTAAAACCTTATCAAATAGCTTGTAAAATCTTATAATATCTTATAAATACCTTATAAATACGTTGTAAAACCTTTTAAAATACATTGTAAAATCTTATAAATACCCTGGAAAAAAACTTTAAAATACCTTGTAAATTTTTCCCGCCAAAAATTTAACGCCAAAAAAATTGCGGAATAACTTATTTTTTGGCGGGAAAAAATTTTACGGGAAAATTTTACAAGGTATTTTAAAGTTTTTACAAGTGTTTTGGCGGGAAAAATTGCGGGATCACTTTTCCCGCCAAAAATTATTTTGTATTTTGTGGACCTAATTTTGTTATATTTTCTTATATATTTGTGATATCTTTTATTAAAAGAAGGGTAATTTAGTCATTTCGTACATAAAAAGGGGTATTTTAAAAATAGACAGCCAAATAGGGCATTTTTGAAAAGGGCTATTGAAAAAGGGGCATTTTTGTGAGTCTCCCATTAATTAATATCTTTATGATATTATGGAAAGGATTAGTTATGGTTAAGATATTATGTTAAGATTTTTTTGGTAATTAATATCTTTGATTTAAATTTTCGAAATTAAATAATTAATGCCAGTGGCATTGCTTTGTAAATACTTTCAAACTCTAGGATTTATTTGCTAAGTGTACTCCAAAAATGTATATATTGATTTGGTCATGTCATCATTAGTCTCTCTCTTGACTCTTAACTTATACACACGTCACCGCGTCTTTTTTCTTCTCCCATTGCGCGTGTACTTCCCTGCTGCTGTCCCATTTGGTCTTTTCCCTCATTCCTTATGTTCTTTTTTAATATTTTTGAATAGAGTGTTATATTCTTAATTTTACATTAGATTTTAGTTTTAAAGAAAATTCACCCACTCGTCGATGCAATATTGAGGTTGATGGAAATAAACTGAATTTTATTAAGTTTTGGTCTAATTATAAACCACAGACCACAAAACTGAATAGTGAATATTTAGGGTATCCAAATTTAAAAAAGAAAAATTAAAAATTAGGGAGTTTTTTGTTAAAACAGTCTTTAGTGAAAACAATTTTAAAATCTTAGAAATTTGGAGGCCTCCTGCTGAAAAAGGATTAAAATTGGGGCTCCCATTTTAATATTTGATGAGTGTAGGTATGAATAGAATTATTTTTCTGCTTGATTGGTAGAGTGAGAGTCTGTAGAAGTTGTGTACAGACGTTTATTAAAGCACCCTACAACTTTAAAACTAAACAATCATGCTTTACAATATTTTTTAAAAGCTACCGTTAAAACAAAAAAAATCTTTTGAGTTTTTGGCTTTACACATCCAATTTTTCACTTTCTTCTTCTAACCTTCCCACGTTCCCGATTTCCAAATTATAATTCATTTATCTAATTTGTCAATATATGTAATTGCATAATAGTGATATTTATTATCATAATACCATATATATATATTCTACAATATATATATATATATATATATATATATATATATATATATATATTCTACTATATATTTACCAATCAAGCTTTCAATTTTAAAAAGTTATAGCTAAAATCGTAACCACAGTTTAAAAATCTATAGCCCAAATTCTACAGCAAAAATTGTAAAGTTACAACTACAATTTTTGCAAAAACCTTTTGTAAATAGTAGGAATTAGGAAAATTTTCGAATTTATCAATTTTCTCATAACCTTATCAAACTTCGAAATTGCAAAAATTGATAAGTTTTTCTGCAATTCATAAACTTATCTCATACGCTCATAAGATAAGTTGCATTTGCAAAATTACCAAAATCATAGACTTGACTTCTTAACTTCAACATACGCGTGGGAAATTAGTCGTCTTAGTATGAAAACTGATTTTCATAATTTCACTTTGCTTTTCTTTGAAGCCACAAAAGTAGGCAATGCTCCGGGATCACACGTTATTTTTATTTTTTGTCATCCGAAATTAATTAGAGCTCAAAAGAGCAATTCCTGAGGAATGTTGTTTACATATGTGATATGAAGCAGTTCTGTACGAATTTTTCGTGCCAGATTATCCGCTTTTACATTAGCATTTCGAGAAATTAAAGATAAAGAAAAGGATGAGAATTCTTCCTTGTCGCTCTGGAATTCCTCCAAGTACACTGAAAACGCCGGCCATTCGGTTGGAGAAGACACCATCTTCACCAAATCAGAACAGTCTGTAAGAAAAGCTACTTCTTGATTATCTGCACCAATCATACACTTCATCGCCCAGAGAAGAGCCTCGAATTCTGTATGTAATTGAGATAGACTTCTACGGAGGTTGGCAGCTCCCATGGTTGGCGGCTCTCCGGTTGATGATGTACAGAACCATCCTATACCGGAGAACTTATCACTTTTTTTCCACGATCCATCCACAAAGCAACGGCATCCACACGTTAATATATATTTTTCACACGTTAATATTCCAAATAAAAGTTGACCAATACACATTTTCTCACTCGGACATAAGTCAAGAAAGCAATAAGTATCTATTTTTCTCAGCTCACCTATAAAATTATAACAAAGCTCTATTGTCGACTACTTCTTACAAAAACGAATGCATTACTAAACAAACAAAAAGAATTTTCTTTTTTTTATCATTAGTTAATAAAAATAATGGGGAAATGCCTAGCTTTGATGATCTTCCTCTCTTCTTCTCTTCTTTTTGTCCTTCAAAACCTCGAAGTCGTTAACGCAGTCAGGTGTTCCGGAAGCTTCTTCAAAGGTAACAGCAGCTATAGCGAGAATCGCCACAAGCTCTTCTCTACTCTTGCTAATAAAGTCGTCACCAACGGTGGATTCTACAACGCTTCACTCGGTAAAAGTCCCAACACAGTTTACGCTCTTGTCCTTTGTGCAAGAGGTTACCAGCGACAAGCGTGTTCCAGTTGTGTCGAAAAAGTGACTCAGGGGACACAATCGAGTTGTCCAGATCGCATGGATACGTTCAAGTGGGACAATGACGACGAAGACCATGTTTCTTGTCTTGTACGTTCCACAAACTACTCAACTTTAGGGACGCTCCAGCTTGGACCTCCTGTTATATTCCCAAGTCCACTTAGTATAGATCCATCCAGGGACATGACCCTTTTCAAACAACAGTGGGAAACAACGGTTAATCGGACCCTTGAGGCTGCCACCAAAGCTGAAAATTCCTCGGTAATTAAGTACTATAGTGCGGTACAAGCCGAGTTCACGGAGTTTCCAAATGTTTACATGCTGATGCAATGCACACCAGACATATCTTCCCGAGATTGCAAGAGATGTTTGGGAGATTGCGTGACGTATTTTACAAAACAGTTTTGGGGAAGGCAAGGAGGAGAGGTTAGTCGTCCGAACTGTGTTTTCAGGTGGGATCTATATGCGTTCCATGGTGCTTTTGATAATGTAACAAGAGTTCCTGCACCTCCTCAACAAGTAAAGGGGAGCTCTATAACAGAAAAGAAAGGTAAAACAAATGAGTTAAAACAATTTCACAATTTGTAAAATGATAAAGAGGTTCTCAAACTAAAAAGGGTTAATAATTTGCAGGAAGAAGCATTGGCTATAGCAAAATTATTGCGATAATTGCGGTTCCTACTTTCATTAATATTTTGGTGTATATTGGTCTCATAAAAGTCTATGCTTGGAGAAGAAAATCAAACAACGGAATAGATGGTAAGTGTACCGTGTGTCTTGCTTTGATCAACTTTATGATGGTGCGATTAAAGCTTATTTCTCTTTTTTATTTAGTTTAAGTTGGTAGGGCAGAGTACTCTGATTCTGATGGACAATTTATGTTACGGTTTGATCTCGGTATGATCTTAGTGGCAACTAATGACTTTTCGTCTGAGAATGCGCTTGGCCAGGGTGGATTTGGTACTGTCTATAAGGTAGTACCATAGTAATAATATTTTCCTAATAATGAGTTGTATATTATTGATTGATCTAAGTCATGGATGTGTAACCGATCTTGAGAACCGGTTTCAGGGGACATTACTAAACGGGCAAGAGATAGCCGTGAAGAGACTAACGAGAGGTTCAGGGCAAGGAGATATGGAGTTTAAAAATGAGGTTTCTCTATTGACAAGACTCCAACATAGGAATCTGGTTAAGCTTCTTGGGTTCTGTAATGAAGGAGATGAAGAGATTCTTGTTTACGAGTTTGTCCCCAATTCAAGTCTTGATCACTTTATCTTCGGTAAGCCTTTGCAAGACAGTGGAATGTTTTTAAAGTGTTCGAATATTTTTAGCAAGAAAATGTTTCTTTGAACTCTACAGATGAAGAGAAGCGTTCGCTTCTTACATGGGAGCTAAGATGCAGAATTATAGAAGGCATTGCTCGAGGTCTTCTTTATCTTCATGAAGATTCTCAGCTGAAGATTATTCACCGAGACTTGAAGGCAAGCAACATTCTTTTAGACGCTGAGATGAACCCTAAGGTTGCCGACTTTGGGACAGCGAGATTGTTCGAAGCTGATGAGACTCGAGCTGAAACAAGACGAATAGCTGGAACCCGGTAAGAATATAACAACCAGTCTTGAAAACACATGTAAATGCTATTTTTTAGCAGAATCTTTTAGAAATTATTAGTTAATGGTATTGGTTGCATATATGCAGTGGGTATATGGCTCCCGAATACCTGAATCACGGACAAATCTCAGCTAAATCTGACGTTTATAGCTTTGGTGTTATGCTTCTAGAGATAATAAGTGGTGAAAGAAACAATAGCTTCGTAGGAGAAGGACTTGCCGCTTTTGTAAGCTTCTTAACATATCAAGTATTTTCTCCACTTTCTTTTATTTTCAAACCTTTATACAGAGAGTAAGAACATATATATTTTCTTGGTGCAAGGCATGGAAGAGATGGGTTGAAGGAAATACTGAGAGTATAATTGATCATTTCTTGATAGATCAGCCAAGAAACGAGATCATTAAGTTGATCCAAATTGGTTTGTTGTGTGTTCAAGAGAATGCAGCAAAGAGACCAACCATAAGCTCTGTTATAGTTTGGCTTGGTAGTGAAACTATCATCATTCCTTTACCTAGAGCTCCTGCTTTCACTAGAAGTCAATCTCAATCTGAGAATGGTATAAGGTCAATGAGCGATGATGTCTTCACGGAGTTGAGTTGTCGTTGAGTTATAGCTCATCAGTTAATCAAATCATATATACATTGTATGTTGTGGATATATTGATCATTGATGTATCTTAAACTTTGTCCTTTGGCTTGTATTTAAATTGAATCCATCTGTTTTGCAATTGGAGAAATTTTTTTAAACTTTTTCTATGTATTTCTGCTATTTAATAATATTTTTTTTCTATCATCTTTTGTGTTGTTTCTTTTGACATGAGTAAGTAAAGACTGATATGTTTTAATTATGTGTTGATTGGTTCTCCCGCTATCATCCGCCTAGCGGTTGTTAGTGGTGTGTTGCGGTTGTTAGCGGTTGGTACTAATCATAGAAACCGCTCCATACCGCTTTGGACCGTTCGAAATCGCCGGATTTCAAAAGCTCCTTTCCGCAAGCGTTTGCAGTCCCGGATTTCAACTCAACATGTCTCCTAGGGCCCATCAAAGTATTGAGCCGGCACTGAATACAGGGATGTGATCTGCTCGAAGGCGAGTGGGGCAAAGTTGGAAGCATACTCTTGTGGAAATTAACTTTTGGTAATGAAAATATTGTTTATATATATATATATTATGCAAGAAGATTAACCCTTCAACTTAGGTATACTAGATACGGGAAAGAAAAAGCATGATATATAATTGTTTGTTAACGCGTACTGGTGTAGATGGAGAGCCGAGAGTGTCGAAGGATAGGATCGAGGGGATTGATGTGGAGAATAATGTGATCCAGTGGAGGGTGTTAGAGGGACCTCTGAAGAAAGAGTACAAGAGCTTCTTGAAAACGATGAAAGTGAGCCCTAAGCAAGGAGGGACTGGAAGTGTGGTGAAGTGGAACATGAAGTATGAGAGGATTGATGAGAAGGTGGTTCACCCAGAGAGGCTGCTCAAGTTCTTTGTTGAAGTGATTACAGAAGTTGACCAATACCTCTTGTCTGAGGATTAGGGGACTCTTTTGCTTGGCTTATATATTTGTGGGAGAGTTATTGTATGCATAACAGTGTAAGGACTCTTCTTGTGTTTTCTTTTATCTCTTGAGATTTAGAAGAGATGTCTGCAAGTGTGCTATACATAATACATCATGTCTTCAAGTTGGAAGTTGTAATATTTTGAGTAGCTTATGAATTCTCGTATATGTATGATGTGTTTGTTAATAAAAACATATTATATTTTAGGGTTTAAAGTTTAAGTTATTTCATATGCGATCTTGAATAAATTTTTCTAAAAAGATTGAAAGAAAAAAACAAATGAAAGGGGAGGGATACAAGTATTTTCTGCAGAGAGAAGAAAAAAAGAGGACAGAAAGAGAAGAACATGTGTGGTTGTAGGATGTGCTTACTTTGGGGTGAGAGTATTTTGGTCTGTATAGATAAATATTCTAACCATTCAAATCACCTAATATATCTATGCAGTATATTGTTTAAAATGGTTCGGAACATTATAGATTATGTTATTGTAATTTTTAATGACATTTTCCGAGAGATATCACTTTGGCAACACGTTAGCAAAGCAAACCATGTGGTTATTTATAAACTTAACGCTAGTTTCTAAAAATGTTGTGTAACACCCAGGAATATGGTTGTGCATGCGGAGAGGTTTAAAACAATTGATTTGGCCACCTATGTCACCAAAGTGCACTTATCTTTTCAGTAAAACATACTGTGAGAACTCCACAGTTAAACGTGTTTGAGATGGAGCAATTTCAGGATGGGTGAATATCTTCCAGAAAGTGATTGTTGGAACTGTGTGAGTGAGGACAAAACACGGAAAAATATCATGTGGGGATTTGTAGGGTCGGTAAAAAAGTCTTTAAAGTCTTGCAGACGTAGTGGACCAATATGCCAGACAGAAATGAGGCCACGAGACTGAAAGAGGACATGGGTACTCACTAGAAAGGGCGGTCGGTGCTTTACATGTTTAATTCTCATTTTTTTATATAAACAAAAGATTAATACTAAAGCCTAGTGCGAAGGCTAATGACCAGCTGGGCTGCTTCAAATCATTGCTATCAGAACTTATGGTTGAAAATAATTTGACACCCTACGAATGTTTGAAGAATTCAGCAGAGATTATGATCATCTCGACTTTGCTGATCTTTCTTTTCCTGATTCCATCACTAATCGTCTATTTTCATTTCTATTTCTTTGTATTTTTACTTTTCAAGATCAGATTGCCCAGTGTATAAGTTAGTGTATTTACAAAATCTTCCTAACCAAAGCCCAAAACTTATGCGGTTCTCAACTAGTCACATTAACTCATTCTGATTTCACCACTAGGGAATCATCAGTATAACACAATCTATATAACGGTCCTAATGCAGAATAAATACGTTCCCAACACATCAAATGTTTTTCATAACAAATAAAGGAATATATAATAGTATAAAATAATATTTTATATATAAATATTATATCCTAGAGTACTCTAAAATATGAAGTTAGTAAACTTACAATCATTATTTAACTAAAATTCAATATTTATTAAGATTAGGGGCATATTTTAATCGATGAAACAGATAAATATAAGGGATTTCTAACTTTTATCTTTATTTATTCTATGTGGAAAACTCAATATGTCATCAACTTAACTATAAATATAAAATATATAACTATTATAACATCGACTAACTATATATATATATATATATATTAAACTATATGTTATTAGTTGATGTATTTCTCAATATGTCATCAACTTAACTATAAATATATAACAAAGATATTATACAGAACTTCTCAATATGTCACCGATGAAAAAAAACAAACAAACTCCCGGACATCAATCCAAAAAATAAATCCAAAATTTCCTTTATAAGGTTAATCTAGTTATAGGTACATTTCTATATGTTAGTTAACTTTAAAATCGGAACGAATTATCGAGTTTGTAACTACAAAAGTGGAATTAACTTCAGTAATTGTTATATTTCACGTACGTTTTGATTGAGATTGAAGCAAAATATTATCATTTATGTTTCATTATACACTAAAACCTCTATAAATTAATAATGTCGGGACCATGATATTTTATTAATTTATAGTGATATTAATTTATCTATAAATTAATAATTATTAATTTATATTATAAATTAATATTTATTAATTTATAGAAAGTTTTGTTTCAATTGTAAAAACTTTTTTAAAAAAATACGAGCTAAAGCAATGTGATCTAACTAAGATTAATGTTTTGGATGTTATAAATTTTATAGTTTTAGCCTTAAACACTTAATATTTCGAAAAAAATAATTTATTTTGACAATGAATAACAACGATTATAGAATTCACATATACAAACGATATACATAAATTAAAATTCACAAAGACATCCATTGTTGTATTTTAAAAACATATACGACTATTAAAAAAAAAATTATGCATATTCAAAATTTGAAAACTTACAAAAAATTTTGGCTATTTTTATGAGAAACACTAAAACTATTATATATATATATATGTGAAAATTACATGATTATTAATTTATGATATTATTGGGACTATATTTTTACATAGGGATTTCAAAAAAAATATTATCTTATTATCTTATCGAATTTGGTTAATTTTTACATTGGTCCGACTCGGGACCGGCCAAATTTATTAATTTATCGTGTTTATTAATTTATCGAGTATTAATTTATAGAGGTTCTACTGTATATGTTAGGCATGTATCAGTTTTGACTGAGACTGAAAGACTGACTAGATGCTTAATTCAATGATTGCTTTAGAAACTTAAGGTTCAAAAGAAAACAAGACGTAAATCGGCACACTACGGGCGTTCAAAGTATTAAGGAGATAGATCATTATAGAAATAAGAGGAACCGAACCAAACCAAAACCAACAAAATACCCGAACATATCATAAATTCTAAACCTAAAAGAAACGAAATCAAAATGGACCCGGACTAAATATGTCGTATACCCAAAATATATTTATATATCCACAAATATAAGTTAATTTTAGACCAAATACCAAAAATATCCGAATATTGGAAAGTTACCAGAATAACAGAACTGAAACCGAATGTATCCGAACGGATGTATCCGGAAAATACTGGAAATACTCAAAATACCGAAAATATTTCGGTTATTCGGGTATGTTAGAACCGGAACTGAAAAATATATTCAGGTATTTTAGAACCAGAGCCAAAATATACCCGATATAGTTCGGTCCCTAATCAGTTCTTGATTCAACTACGCAAACCAAATGGAATCCGAACCAGAACCGAACAGATTTTCCTTCGGTTAGTATATGGATCTTGAAAATAAGAACTAAATCCGAATGGTTCCGAATCAAGATCGAACCGAATCCAAATGCCTTGGACTAATCTTGACTCTAATCATAATTTTTTAACGATTCCATCACTGTATTGTAGTTGTGTATTTTAATTCTTATTATTCTTATTTCTTGTTGCAATATCAGCTTGTACCCATTGTAGAAAATTGGGTAGTACAAGATCTTCATAACCAAAGCCCAAAACTTAGGCAACCACTTTTTCTCCCCTAAAGCTGGTTCTCGACTAGTCTCTAGTCACATTGATCTCTTCTAAGTTAGATGTATGCGAGTTTCAGGAGGATAAATTACTATGCATGCATGGTGGAATTTGTCTTCATAGAAAGCAGCCATCACTAGATTAGGGCCGGTGGGCAAAAGCCTTAGTTCAAAATGATTAAAATTTTGGCTAATTTTACTTCGGTAGACTTCGTAGAAGAAGTTGAAGTTTAACAAGGTAAAGCTTTCGAGGGTTTGTAAGTAAGCAAGAAAATTGTTCACATAAATTTGCTTATTCGAACAATAGAAAATATAAAGAGAAATATGCTTATTGGAGCAAAAATAGTATTTACATAAAGGGATGTGAAACCTAACCTATATTTGCCGATTAGAACTCGCGAATTACTTGACGGATTTGAAAGAAGAGAAAGAACGCAAACAAAGAACACCGAGATTTTAGGAGTTCTGGCTCCGGTGTGGAACCCTACATCTCGCCGGAGATTGACTCCGGAATCCACTAGAACTTAGCTCAAACTCGAGCTCATACAAGTAACTGTTACAATCGCTCACCGGATTACAATCACTCTCAAGCTTTCTCTCTCATTAACCCAAAACGATTACTCTCTCTCTCTCTAACTCTAGCTCACGTCTCTCGTCGACTTGCGTCGTCTCTGTGACGCTTCCTCACTTTCTGTTACAGACTCGAAGAAGAAGAGTGATTAAGAGAAGAAGATACAGAGCCAAGGATAAAAGACTCTTTTACCCCTTTTGTTGGTGACTTATTACTAATACCCACACATGTGTTCCTCACGTGTGCCAGTAGTGTAAGCTTGTGTTGAACCCTCTGATTGCTTCAGAGACTTAATCACACTGCATATTCTTGAGATAGATCGAATGACACCAAAACCTTCAAGAAAGAAAGACAAAAATATATCAAAATCCTTAGAAAGAAAAGTTGACAATAAAAGTAGTGAAGAGAAAGACATAATCATTGCTGAACCCTTGGATGATTCTCACCCAAAAAAAATCCTAGTAATAGTAATTTCTCCTTCCTAGGATTAGACTGAGCCTAAACTCTGTGTATAAAAGAAAAAACAATAAATAATCGTAGACAACGAAAAAAGAAACATGGTACATTCAATTAGAACTTGTCCCAACATTATATTAGGTTAATGTATCACTCTCTTTGAGCACAGCCAGGTAAAACATTCGTGTTGAGCTCCCAAATTTTAAAGAGTTAATATGTATTGATTTTAAGGCCCTTAAACAGTACAAAAAAATTATATAGATTATAAGACTCCCTGGATGCGATCATACCAGTACTAATGCACCGGATCCCATCAGAACTCCGTAGTTAAGCGTGTTTGGACGAAAGTAATACTAGGATGGGTGACCTACCGGAAAATCCTCGTGTTGCATCCCTCTTTAAAAAAACGATTTGCTCAAAAAAAAAAAAAAATTATTATGATACTCCCAAACCATAATTGTTTGTAACCCCATAAATTTCATGGCCGACGTAATCTATAAAAACTTTTAATATCACATGGTTCGTTTTGTCCTTTTTATAATTGTGATAAACCTTTAATTGACATGCGTTAGCATACGAACCATATAATTATTTATAAATTTAATTAAGGCTATTTTCTAAACAAAATTTTCATTTAATTCCTATAAAAGACAAGATTGACATGTATCAGTTTTGAATGAGAATGAAACCGAAAAAAATTAAAGAGCTCAACAACCAAACTTTAAGATTGAAAAGGAGGCATAATATATAATGGTGTGAGTTATTTTCACAAACCGACAAAAAGTTGTGAAACTACTTTTGAGCACTCGAAGAAGTGTAATGTTTCAAGCTGCGGCCACGGCGGCTCAGGCTATGCCTGTGCAACACGTGGGGTTTCCCCGTTTTTTGAGTCGACAACTTGTCCTGCCTCTCCGAAGCGCAAAGACCTTCAAACCTCTGGCATGTCTCAAACTGAGAGTCAAAGGGTACAAAAAGATCTCTCTAATTTCATTTCATAAGAGCTAAGTGGTCTAATATTTGTTTTGTTTTGTGGTAACCGAAACATAGACTAAGCATCAAGATATGTAGATAGTCTATAATGGCCAAGGAGTAATGATCTAATATTTTTGATTCATAATATTTTTGCATTTGGCAGAGTGAATGGACTCCATGAGATTGAACTCAAAGTTCGCGATTATGAATTAGACCAATTTGGTGTTGAGAACAATGCTGTTTATGCAAACTATTGCCAACACGGTTAGTTTAATTCGGATGCAAATGTTAAGCGAGTTGCTATTTTTAAGCTATATCCCATTCTTACCAACTATTGTTTATTAAACATGTTTTTATACTAAGGTCAACACGAGTTTATGAAGAGTATCGGTATCAACTGTGATGAAGTATCCCGTTCTGGTGAAGCCTTGGCAGTTTCTGAGTTGACAATAAAGTTTCTTGCACCTTTACGAGTAACTTTGAACCCGTATTTTTCCAATAATATTTGTCACATTTTCTAAGATCAATGTTTTGTATTTTTTTATTCGATTTCTTTCCCGCAGAGTGGATGCAAGTTTGTGGTGAAAACGAGGATATCGGGGAGATCCGTGGCGCGAATTTACTATGAACAGTTCATCTTTAAACTTCCAAATCAAGAGGTTATTTTTTTGCTCTCAAGCCTTTGTGTTGGTTTTATTTGTGTTCTGATTCGGATCCACGTTGTATACCATTAACAAAGCAGCCTATTTTGGAGGCAAAAGGAACGGTTGTGTGGTTGTTCGTATCCCGTCTTACATACGCTTTAAGTTCAGTCACTTCCACCGCCAACATGTTTTTGATTGATCATGCACTCTTGGGCTCGACAAAACATTTTTTATCTATTGCGAAAAAATCTAGACATATGTAATGATACAGAGAAAAACAAACATTACTAAAAACTCAATATCCATTAGTAATCAAAACGAAACAAATTACATATATTTAAGAAGGATATCTTCATCGCTCATGTATATGTATAGATAATTAGATATATTTGGAAATTGTATAAATATTATATCTATGTATAAAATTTATCGCCATATTACATAAACGTATTAAAATTTTACTAACCATGAAAAAGAAAGTAATCTCTCTATGAATACCGCTGTTATATTTGTTGAGTTCTGAAAATCTTCATATATTTTAATTATTAAAAAAAACTTACGGAATAGTACGAATATCCAAAATTTTTAGTGAAGATCCGGTTAGTTGCGGAGCAAAAATGGATAGCAAAATGGCTGATCCAGACAAAGCATAATGAATCATAAATACCATAAAAGTTCAGAATATGTATTCTGTTTTCACCCTACCGCATTCTTACTATTTATGTACATATTGTAAGAGTGATGTTTTTCCTCATCATACTATGTATTTAAGCTGTAAGGAAAAAAAAATAGTTGTGGTTTTTCTTGTGAATAGAATTATCAATTTGTTGGCATTACTTAATTAAGAATTCGTAACCAAGAGGACGTCTTGGACGAGTAACTGAGAAGATAAAGAAGATAGACAAAAAAAATAACAGAAAACATTATCAAACAGAAAAAAGTAATAAATAGAAAAAATAGAGAACTAATATATATATATATATATATATATATATATATATTAAAATCATTAATAAAATATATATATTTAAATCATTAATAAAAAAAAAACTACAAGCAGACAAAAATCGAATCTGATCTAGAACAAAAGTTGTACAAAATATATAACTAAATGGCAGATTTAGAAGCTTAATTGTGAAGAGGTGGTGATCGGATGTTTTCTTGATTTGGTGAGTCTTTAGGTGTAACCAAAACAGCAACTTTCAGCCCAACTGCACAAAGAATAGGTTTATAGCTAATAAAGTAATGGAAGCCGAGGTGGGTGAGTTTGAATACATCGTGACCTATCTTGTAAACGACCAAAGAAGAAGATGTGTTTTGTAGGAGCTCAAGACCACTAACCTTTACAACATTGTCTCCATCCTAGTTGTATTGGAAGAGAAGACAGTCTCCAACTCTGAAGTGTTTGTTCTCATACCACATGGGGTCTGCCTTCGTCGTCCATCCATTGGAGTCTCCAACTTTAAACACATTCTCATTGCTGAGAACATCGCTTGGCATGGGAGTGCTAGGATGATGTGAAGGATCCCAAAAAATAAATGTCATTCTCTTTTATGTTAGCTCGACCCTTCAATTAAAGCTAACAAAATTTTGACCTTATTAGATTAGTTCTAGGAGTTTATAAACTTAAATATTTACCGACGGACTACAATTAGCATCATCTCTTAATCTCTTATAACCAAGAAATGAACATTTAATTTGGAACTCGAAAGTAAGAGATTATAGTGATGTTAAAACAGGCTTTAGGCTCGTGGGCCTAAATGGGACTAACATAGTATTTTTGGCTCGTATTTTATTTAACATCATGTATATAAACAGTTTTAAAAGGGCAGGACAGTTTAGACTCATTAGCTAAATGGGTTTTGAAAATAATTAACGGCTAGCACCGGTTAATATCCATTTTGTGTTCGTTTAGTAAAAACAACATTTAATTTTACCCAAACTCATCGCTTTGTAAAATGATTATTGCCTCCCGACCCAGACACGACAACAAACTGATTTTGAGAAGAAAAAATAATTGTCAGCTACAAAATTATATAGCTCATTACATAATTATATATTTATAGTAAATTAAGTATCAATATATACATTAATAAGTAAAGTTTTATGATAACATGCAGAAACAAATATAAATTATATGACCAACATCATAGTCTTTCGATTTAACCTGATATTCCTCTTGGATGATGTGTTATTCGTCAAGGATGTGCTTTGGCATACAATTGAATTCGTTATATATATAGGCTAATTTGGTTTACCAATAAAACTGGTTAAAATCTATTTTTTCTTCAAGAGGACTATAATTTGTTTATTTGAAATATAAATTTTTGTTTCATACAAAGAAAATATATTAAAATGACTTTGTTATTAATTCTAGTGACATTCATTGTAATTTCTATAAAACTCTAGGTCTATTATACTCTCAAAGTTACTTACTAAATAATATTAGTAGGTTCCTACCCAAAAAAAATAAAAAATTAGTAGGTTAGTTGTGAAAGAAAAAGTAGTTGAGTAGTCACCGTTTAACCAAAACGTAGTGAATCACTCTCAAATCTATTCTTCATTCCATCAAAGGAGCTACGAACTCAAAGGGAATCACTCATTCTCTTCGCAAGACCATATATTTAGGTGACGTAAAGAAAAAGAGCAGGAGAAAAAAATGGTAGAAGAGGAGATTGAGGTAGATGTCGATATCAAAACTACGGCTGATAAGTTCCACATGTTCATCAGAAGATCACAACATGTTCCTAAAGCCACTCGCTACATTAAGGGATGTGATCTGCTCGAAGGCGAGTGGGGCGAAGTTGGAAGCATACTCTTGTGGAAATTAGTTTTTGGTAATCGTTATATATATATCGTATCTTAATATATTTGATACCGGTAAAGTATTTTTCTGATCTGCCACTATATATATATACACGACTTGTAACTATGGTAAAATTCTAGGAAAAAAAAAGATAAACACTTCTACTAGACATATATAGTGGCAATTACTAGATCCAACGAAAACAAAAAATATTAAATATTTCATTTATAAACGCATTTTGGTGTAGATGGAGAGCCAAGAGTGTCAAAGGATATGATCGAGGTGATGGATGTGGAGAAGAATGTGATTCAGTTGAGGGTGTTAGAGGGACCTCTGATGAAAGAGTACAAGAGCTTCCTGAAAACGATGAAAGTAATGAGCCCTAAGCATGGAGGGCCCGGAAGTGTAGTGAAGTGGAACATGAAGTATGAGAGGATTGATCAGAAGGTGGATCACCCAAAGAGGCTTCTCCAGTTCTTCGTCGAAGTGACTAAAGAGATTGACCAATACCTCTTGTCTAATGATTAATTAAGGGACTCTTCTGCTTGGCTTCTGTGTGGGAGAGTTTTGTATGTGTGAGGACTCTTGTGTTTTGTATGTCTTTCTCGATAATGTGATTGCTTTAGATGTATAAAAGATGGCTGCAAGTGTGCTATACATCATGTCTAGTTTTGGAGAACTCTTATTACGCTTTAAGTTGCTAGTCGTAACATTTTGAATAAGCTCTGAGCTCCTCGTATTTGTATGTACATGTATTGATATGTATGTTGCGTTTATTATTCATGAAATCATATCATATTATAGTTCAAGCCTTATTAAGAAAAAAGTGAGATTTTAATTCCAATTTTATTATCTCACCTGATATAATAAAATGACATGTTATTAGATTTTTTTTTTCAATCAGTAAGACATTAAAGTGAATTTGTGATATAATCATAAATGAGATTATAATGAAGTATATAGCACTTTAATGAACCAAATTCAACAAGTAACTATCTCAACTGAAATGAGAAAAAAGTTATCCAAGCTGACACACAAGTAAAATTCCAAGACCTAACATGATCTTGTCTCCTTTTTTTTTTTTTTTGGTTCAACAACTTGTCTCCTTTCTTTTCTTCTCTTTTTTTCTTTGTCAATTATAACTTAACAAAGACGATCATTGGTGTTTAAAAAAAAATAAAAAAAAAATAAGACAATGACTCGATCATTCATGTAGAATTATAATTCACTATCTTGATGATCTGAATCTCTTATGACAGAACTTAGCAGCTTTAAGTGGTGCTTTCCTCGTGAAACCTAGTTTATCTATTTTTCTTATACTAAATCGACACCATTATCACCAATCTCTCAAACTTTTACCCAATGAAAAAATTGCAGCCAGTATCATATTTGTTTTAGGACGAAGACATCAACAAGGACTCGACTTTTTCGATTGATAGAATATCACACAATCGTAGTCGTTTAACCACCCAATTCACTCCTCTCTCTTAGATTCAACTTTTCTTCTTAATAATTTGTTTTCAACTCTTGTGATCCTTAAATTTCTTCACATTTTCATCTAACATATACTTATGACACAATACAAGCATACAACTAATATAACCAACACAAAGTCATGCCCAGCGTAGTTGACCTCATGCTTATGCAACTATTTAGATGCATAAATTCTCCTACGTCTCCACATAACCCAGTCTTGATAAGAAAGCATAAGTGTATACATAACATTATAACAAAAGTTAACATCTTCTTCAGCATTCCAAAGCTGCCACAAAACTCACTTCAATTAATAAAACATAAAAACTTTTTGGAAAGTAGTTTTTTTAGTGATTCAGTATAGTGCGTGATAAAATTCTCTATAAACCTTTGGTAATATTCAAGAAAAATATTCTATAAATCAAAACAACCAGCAATCCCTTCTCGTAATACAAATTTCCCCAAATATCCTAACATCCTGAAGCCATAACTCGCATTTGCTCAGCTCCACATATATTTTCTTCTCTCATCAACCTACGAAGTATCAATGCTACATGCTTAACATGCTTTTTCCTTTATTAAATAAACCATGATGTCACCAATAAAAAATGAAAAAATATTTCAAATGCAATTTAAAGAGTTGATTTACTACATCCAACCACTACTGTTTTGCGAGATCTGTATTATTCTCTTTTATAGAGTGTCTCTCTAATCATTTTAACTCTTTTGTCGTCCTCTATTTTGTATTTTTTTGATGGATTATTCTTTCTAGTATTAAATTTGAATTGGCAACAAACCAAAAAATAAAATAAAATAAATATTAGAAAATAAAATTAGATAAATTTCTTCATAAAAAAAAAAAATGGTTGTTTCCACTTAATGACTGCTTCGATCTTTAGCATAACCAACTGAGCCTAGCATATAATTTTTCTTCTCTCAACTTATGAAATATCAACGTTAAATGATTAACATGCTCTTTGGAATTTGTCATGTTATCAATATATAAACAATGAGAATTATTTCAAATGCAATCTAAACATTCGATTCACCAAATCCAAACATTCCGCTTTAGCTTACTGCTAACCAAACCAAATTTGTATATCTTTATGCATGGTACTAGCTATTAGGTATGCCCATCCCGTTTAGCAGATTTGTCGTAATATCTTTTTTTAATTTTTTTATGAGTGTTTCTCTAGTCCTTTATGGTTGTTTTATTACCCTTTAGTAAATTCTTAACTCTTTTGTCGTGTGATATGGCGAGTGGCCCCAATTGAAAGATGTTTCTTTGAAAGGTAAATAGACCACGTGAACTCGTGTACCGGCCCCGGCCCGACCCATCAATCTCCGATCAACTTCATAAGAAATATTTATTATAGTATATGAATTGTGTTTATTAATTTTAAGGGTGTTATTTTAACCATACCTAAAGCTATTTCATTTATTGGTTAATTTGTATACGAGTAGCTACACCTGCTTCAACCATTTTAACCACGATTTATTTTCTTGTCTCATTCATTTCTATTATATAATATAAGAAGAAATACAAATATAGACTACAATTTTAATACACAAAACAGGCAAAAACCGAGATATCCACAAAACTAAACCCTAAAAAAGAAACAAATGAACATATCGAGAATCATAACATACAAAAGACGAAACAAAATGCATAGATTAAAAACAAAACTCTCGAATAAGACTTACCTATCAAACTCCTCAAATCCAAGTGATCAAAACAAATCCTTACAACTACGTGAGCAGCGAAATCTCTTATATCAAAACAAGATACTACCTCCCAAACAAAACGAACCAATTTTATGAAACATAGTATTTTTCACTGACCTATATAATTAGTTTTAAAAAGAAAATATACTTTATGATTTATAAAATGAAAATTGACTTTTGAAATTATTTTTATTATCTTTTTCGTCATTTGGGTAAATAAAATCTGACCCATAGCCAAAATCCAGCAAAAGGGTGATGGTATAGATTACAACTCCGGTGGCAAAAACCGCAAAGGTGGATATTAAAACACTTGATGAAAGATACCAACATAATTTAATGTGTTATACCAACTAAAAAGTTTTAATTAGTATGTCAATTAGAGCTTTAGTTATCATACCACTCTAATGAAAAAATGATGTAGTATACATTGTATATGATGTTATGTCAACATCTAAGAGAGTAAAACTAATTTTATGTAAATAGATGATATGTCCTTTTTGGCTGAGATCCCACTAATATGATGTGGGATCAGAAGATTGCTTTTTTTTTTTTTTATATTATATATATAGAAGACACATTATCCTAAATACTATAATACCTATTACATTCTTTTACAATATATTTATGGTGATCATTGAAACAAATTTTCACAAACCGAACAAAGAGTTGTCAACTACTCATCACATAAAAAGGGCAATGTTTCAAGCTACCGGCATGGCGGCTCCAGTTATGCATGTGGTGTTTCCCCGTTCTTGGAGGCGACGGCATATCCTGCCTCTCCGGAGCGCAAAAACCTTTAAACCCCTTGCATGTCTTGAATTGAGAGGAAGCAAAGGGTACGCATACATATATCTCCCTTATTTCAATTCATAAGAGCTCAGTGATCTTATGGTAACCGAGGTACTATTGGGATATGTTGATAGTCGAGAAATTGCTACTTAATGCATCTATCATGTGCCTTAGTTACTAAAAAATAAACAATGCCCCTAAGAAATTTTGAGAGGCCATCTTTTTAAGTATAACTTTGGTTCAGTTTTAGCATATTAACGTTTAATAGTTCTTAAAATTATAAACTAAAGATTAGGGTACCTAACTAGCTAATGAGTCACACCTTTACCTTCTCAGTTCTCACGGCCATATGTTCCTTTTATGAATTATGACTTGCGATTTTCTTTTTCTTACTTAGCGAGTTTGTAAAAACAGAAGAACCGAAAAATAAGTTTTAGAACTACAATTTTGTTGTTACATATTCGAGTTTTTTTTTTTTTTTGATAAACCATATTCGAGTTTTATATATATGATTTTTTTTGTAATGATTATGTTTATTATTTGAAACGCTTTTGTTATACGATGAATTGGGGCAACTTTTTAACACCGCCTCAAGTCTCCATTAGTGTAGGCACGGCTGATCTATAGTGGCCTAGAGGGACTGATCTAATATTTCTCATTCATAATCTAATTGAAATTTCCATATGGCAGAATAAGTGGGTTCCATGAGATTGAACTTAAAGTTCGCGATTATGAATTGGATCAGTTTGGTGTTGTGAACAATGCTGTTTACGCAAACTACTGCCAACACGGTTAGTTTGCTTTAGTTACATATGTTGTGCGGGTTCAAATTATTATAAACCCTCGATTACAGTCGAAACGTGTGCTAACGTTAGAGCTATGTCCCATTCTTACCAAATATGGTTTATTAAACTTGTTTTCATACAAAGGTCGACACGAGTTTATGGATAGTATCGGTATCAACTGTAATGAAGTATACCGTTCTGGTGGAGCCTTGGCAATTCCTGAGTTGACAATAAAGTTCCTCGCACATTTACGTGTAATTTTTACTCTCTTTTCCAAGAATATTTGTTCTATTTTTTAGAGTTAATGTTTGTCTTTTTGTTTGATATCTTTGAGCAGAGTGGATGCAGGTTTGTGGTGAAAACGAGGATATCTGGGCTATCTGTGGTGCGCATTTACTTTGAACAATTCATCTTTAACCTTCCAAATCAAGAGGTTGGTTTCATTAAGCCTCGTTAAGCCTTTGTGTTGGCTTTTTTACTCGTATTTTGATTCGGATCCTTTTGGTATGTAATTGAAAAAACAGCCTATTTTGGAGGCTAAAGGAACAGCTGTGTGGCTTGACAACAAGTACCGCCCTGCTCGTGTCCCATCTCAAGTACGCTCATATTTTGGTCACTTTCAACGCCAACACGTTGTCGATTGATCACGCATTCTAAGGCTACACAAAATATCCATTATACTCCTTTGGTTTATTAGCTATTTTTATTTGATACATAAAACAATCAAGATATTCATAATTTTACGGAGCATAACAAATATCTAAACACTGTATCAAATTAAAAAAATAATAACATATATACTAAAAATTGTAGAGAAAGGATACATGTACCACGCTGGTATGTATATATGTGTATAGATATTAGATCTATTGAAATTGTATAGTTATTATATCTATGTATAAATTTTATGAATCTGTGTTCATCACATTAATCATTATGGTATTAACATT